TTTATCATGCTACATCAATAAGATCTTTTCCTTAAGCTTTCCCCACTTGCACTATACCAAAAGAGAAAGACCTTTCCCTCAGCAGCTTCGATTTTCAACAAATAAATATTGCAAGAAGACCTTACCACCAAATTCAACTACATGACCTAAATGCAACCTAAATGCTATGATATGAGATTTAAAACAAATAATAACCTAAGTAAAAAGGCACAAAATACAACCTTTTTACGGGGTTATCATACCCCAAACTTAAACTATTGTTTATCTTTAAGTAATGGGTAATGATTAGAAGAAAAATAATGCTATAACAGAAGTTTAGTCAAGGAAACAATGTTTGATAAAATTTAAGCCCTTAGAAATAATTGGCTTCAACATGCAAGAAAGGTCAGGATATCAAGAACGTTTCCCTAGAGTAAGACCCTTTGCATTTTGTGTGCGTGATTGTATATAGTCTATGCTTAACGAAGTTAGAAAATTTCTAAGCAAGTTCCCTATTCCACTGTAGCATTTATTTACCAATTAAGCACACAATTTCTTCCATTTCCATTAAGCTAACCTAAATTAATTTTTATTTTTTTATTTTTTTTGCATTGCTACGAGGGGAGTCAACCTATCAAAACTACCATTTAATATTGCTATAGTTACCATTTATTGAAACACAATATCCAGGAACTGCTACGCAAAGCAAATAGGTAGAGTCATCCTGTAGCTACTTTCATTTACTCGTATGCTATAGCTGCTATTAATTGAAATGCAATATCCAGGCAGTGTTAAAGCAAAAAGAAGTGTCCATCTACAGTTATGTCGAATTATTTATTATTAATTAAACAAATTTAATAAACATAAGAGAGTTTAGTTCAAGAATTTTTCTATTAATTCCATTATTCATAAAGTTATGATACAACAAGTAAGAGTTCTTTCATAAAACAATTATAAGTTCCTTAAGCATATAAAACATTCAATTGTGTATCAAAGAATCACAAAGAATCAAGTTCTAAAGTTAGTCCTATCAATCCTAATAATCATGTACATTCAATCACAACCATGACAAAGATTTATCATCCTCGGGCATCCTTAAATTATTCCCAAAAAAAAACTAACTCAATAGAACTAAATGCCATAACAAAAATTCTACTAACACTATCAATGCAAATAATGAACTATGGATAATACCTCCCCCAAACTTGAAGGATGCATTTTCCTCAATGTTTGAAAACTAAGGAAACTAAAATAAACTACATAAATGCAAATGCAAAGAGAAGTACCTCATCGTGGTGGTGTCTTATCCCTAGTACGCCTGGTGTGTCTCCTATTTGAGGTGGGTTCTTCAGGTTTGGTTTGTTGGGTGGTCTTTATTTGTGTTATAGCTTTATATGCATGCCCATCTAACCTTGATGTCTAGTCATGGTAAGTTCTACAGGATGCGACAAAATAGGAGAGGGTGGATTCTCTTTGGCTTCATCAGCGGAGTCAGACACTGCCGACTCATCAGTATGTTTGGAGTCGTCTTGACGGTCTAGACTTTGTTGCTCCAGAAAAGATTTTCTTTATCCTCATCATCGAACGATAGACGGGTGTCGAGTGGCTTAGCATCGAAGGGCTCTATGGGCTTTGTGGCAATGGACTGGTCATCCTCATCAAGTTGTTCTTTTTCAACAGGTGGGGCATTCTTCTTTCTAGTCTGGTGGGCTGTGGAACGCGGGTCTTGTTTAGGAAATGCTATAGTAGCAATTTTCTTCTCCAAAATGTTTTCAGGGAAATGAGGGAAACTATAGGTGTTTAGGGGCAATATCTCTTTAAAATAAAGGATATAACCTCATGTCTTTACCTCATATAGTTGAAAAAGGGTTTTTTTTGGGCCATCCTTGGTGAAGATCATCAACTAGGGAATCTTCTCCTTGGTTATACCAACCTTCATTGGGATAATTTCATCGAATATCTCCACCACTACCTTCTTCTTTTAGCATATGGTGGTGATCAGGTTGGGGAAGATCAGCGTGCCCTTCTTCCTCTTGACACAGATATGCACTTGTTTGACGATAACCTTGTCAATGTTGATCGGGCACCAAAAAATAATAGAGTGCATAAGAAGCATTTGATGTAGGAAAATAGTAGTATGGTGCGAGGTAGGCATTAGTCGAGTTTGTAGGAAGTGATTTTATACCTTTGCTTGGGGCTTAAGACAGTGCCTTTCCATGCTCTATTTGCTCAGTTTTTTGCCCTTCCATTATGTTCCTTGGAAGGAAAGATCTTCCAAGATTCCATGGTAAGTTTTTGACATCTACTTTAGCAACAAATTTCGCATGGTTATTGGGTATGTTCTCTAGCTTGAAGAAGTAGTTGATGGCTGTCGGGGTAAAACGAACTCTTTTGCCCCTCACCCATATTACATGTTTTGAATGAGTAGTAAGGTGAGCATAAAATTCCCTAACCATGGCAGGGGAAACATCATCAGGATGCTTAGCAAACACTTCCCACTAGTGTTTTGTTATAACATTCATCACTTCAGGGGCCAAAGCCTCTTCACATTTCTCTAGAAAAACAAAACCCTACTCTAAGTAAATCGTCTGACCTTTAATATACTAAAATCTCTCCCTCGCTACGTTGCCTTTGAATGTTTTGATAGGGGTTTGTGGTGAAAATTGAGAGGATGATGCCTTACCAAAAATATTCTTGCATCAGGCCATCACTACTGTAATAAAAGAAAGTAGTGAAAACAAAGAAAAGCTTGGGTGGTGGCTATGGCAATTTAGGAAAGAGAAGAAGAAGTTGAGAGAAAAAACTAAAGAAAATAAAAGAAATAAAGTGAAGAGAAGAGAAGAGGGGTTTTCTATGGTTAAATATAAAAAAAAGGAAGAGTTTGATGTGACAATGAAGTTTTAGGAAAGTAAAAAGTAATGGGGAAGTTAATGAAAAGTGGGATAGAGCAAAGGAAATAAATAAATAAAAATATTTGATTGGTGGGTTTAAAAATTTAAATTTAAACCTTTTTGTTCTCTTATTCTTTTTTTATCGCCTAAACTAAAAAGGTGTTAGGGTTTCTTTTTGTCATCTTTAAAGTATTCTTCATATGCTACCACATGTCCTTGGATGACTTAGAAAATAAACTAACATTAAAATCAAACTAAAAATGAAATAAAGGAAACAATTAAATTGAAAAAAATATTTATATACAATCTACAGAAATAAAATGCTATAGCAAAAATTTTATGGGGTATGTGGTGCAAACTTTGAAATGTCATGGAGGAGAAATGCTGACTTGTCTTGCAAGATTAGGGCTTTAATATACACCTTGAGGCGTTGGCTATTCACCTTAAAGATTGAGCTATCGTCCATGTTCTTGATGTCCACAACTCTATACGGGTACACATGATGAACTTGGAAGGGTCCAGACCATCAAGATTTAAGCTTTCATGGGAAGAGCTTCAGCCTAGAGTTGTATAGGAGGACTTGTTAGCCTACATGAACATGCCATGGTAAAAGATTTTTATCATGCCAATGTTTTGTCTTCTCTTTGTACATGCAGGCATTCTCATAAGCTTGGGCACAAAATTCCTCAATTTCATTTAGCTCTAGCAACCTTTTCTCACTAACTAATTGGGCATCCATGTTGAGCTTCTTGATAGACTAGTAGGCTTTATGCTCTAGCTCGATGAGAAGATGGCACACTTTGTAGTAGACAGGCTTGAAGGGTGACATCCCTTGCGGAGTTTTAAATGCTGTGCGATAGGCCAAGAATGCCTCATCTAGCTATGGAGACCAATCTTTCCTCTTCAGGTTAACCAACTTCTCAAGGACTGCTTGGACTTTCGATTAGAAATTTCCGCTTATTTATTGGTCTGGGGGGTGATATGCTATAACGATTCTATGTCACTCCCCATACCTTTGTAATGCTCTAATAATGAACTTGTTATCGAAATAGGTGCCTTCATCGATTGTAATGGCTTTAGGTGCTCCAAATCGCATGGAGATATTCTTGTGAAGGAACTTAAGCATGGTCTTAGAATCATTTCTTGGTGTTTCTATGGCTTCAACCCACTTGGACACATAGTCCATTGCTAGGAGTATGTAAAGATCGCCAAAGGATGATGGAAGGACCCATGAAATTAATTCCCACACGTCGAAGAGCTCTATCTCCAAAATATTTTGTAACAACATTTCATGTCACTTCGAAATATTCCCAGTGCGTTGGATTTATCAAACACCTTGTAGAACTCGTGCGTATCCTTAAATATCACTGGCCAATAAAATCCAAACTATAGGACCTTTGCATTGTCACAATGAAATAGAATCTCCTTTTGTTATTCTTTAGGAACACACCTTCTGATCACTTGATCAATACATTGATTGAATAAATAGGGGTCTTCCCACTAGTAGTGTTACACATCATATCTGAACATCCTTCTTCCCTGGCTATTTAAATCAGGAGGAAAAACAACATTAACAAGAGAGTTAATTATGTCAGGATACCACAGACATGCCACGACAAATAAAATTTCTTGTCAGGGAATTTCTCATTGATTTTTAAATTGTCATGGCATTCATTTATGTTATCTAGCATAGATAGATGATCAACAAATTAATTTTCAATTCCTTTCCTATCTTTAACCTCTAAGTCAAATTCTTGCAATAGAAAAATCCATATAATAAGACTAGGCTTGGCATCTTTCTTATTCACTAATTATTTAATGGCAGAGTGATCGATGTGCACAACAACCTTAGTTCCTATTAAATATGCATTGAACTTATCGAATGAAAATACTACGCCAATTAATTCTTTATCAGTGGTTGTGTAATTTGTTTGTGCTTTAGTAAAGGTGTGACTAGTATAATAAATGACACAAAAAATTTTACCTCACTTTTTCCCTAACACTACTCCCATGACATAGTCACTCATGTCACACATCAGTTCAAATGGAGCAGTCTAATCAGGTGGGTCAACAATAGGCATTGTAACAAGTCTTTCATTCAGCTCTGTGAACGCGCTGCAGCAATCTTTTTCAATCACGAAGGGCTGATTTTGCTGTAGCATAAGACATAAAGTCTTTGAAATTTTTGAGAAGTCCTTAATGAACCACTTATAAAATCTTGTCTAGCCTAAGAAACTTCTTATACCTTTCACGGTGGTGGGTGGAGGCAGTTTCTCGATCACTTCAACTTTGGCATTGTCCACCTTTATTTCCTTTTGTGAAATCCTATGCCCTTTCACAATTCCTTCAGTCACAATAAAGTGACACTTCTCTTAGTTTAGCACTAGGTTGGCTTCTTCACATCTCTTTAGTACCTTCGCTAAATTGCCAAGAAATTTATTGAAATCATTACCTGAGACAGTGACATCAACCATAAAGGTTTCTAAGAAGTCTTCCACCATGTCTGATAAAATGAATAACATACACCTTTAGAAAGTTACATGAGCATTACAAAGTCTGAACTACATAAGTTCTATATGGGCAAGTGAAGGTTGTCTTATCTTGGTCTTCTAGTGCCAAGGAAATTTGATTATACCATTAATTCCATGGAGGAAGAAATAAAAGGATTTACCCACCAATCGATCAAACATGATGATGAATGGGAGGGGAAATGGTCTTTCTTCGTTTCCTTGTTGAACTTCCGGCAGTCAATACAAATCCTCCAACCCATGACGATCATTGTAGGTAATAGCTCATTGTCCTCGCTTCTCACCACAACCACGCCTTCTTTTTGGGCACACATTGCACTAAGATAACCCATGAACTATTGGAGACAGGGTATATTATCGCAACATCGAGCCACTTTATGATTTTCTTTATCACCACTTTCTTTATCATCGGGTTAAGTCTTATTTAGGGTTTAACAAAATTACTATAGCAATCGTCGAACTATATCTTATGCATGCATATGGTAGGGATTATTCCTTCAAGTCAGCAATAGTCCACCCTAGAGCTTTCTTATGATGTGCTAAGACATTTATCAAACTACTTCTTGCTCAAGGTTAAGACTACAAGATATTATAACAAGCAAAGTGTCATCACTACCTAAATAAACATACTTTAAATGTGATGACAAAGGTTTGAGTTCCAAGATAGGTTCATGTTGTAGCAAAGGTTTTGGGGGGACAATTCATCAAAATATAAGTGTTCGAATCGTGTACTTGCTCTAGCTAAAAGAAAACTAGACTGCTGCACCTCTAAAGAAAAATCCTCAGGCTCCTCCATACCATCTTCTTCATTGAGCCTTTTCATAATATTCAATCTGTAAAAACTTGTTGCAGCAAAATTTTACAGTTCATCATCTATTATCGAGTCCATATCTAACACACTTTGGCATTCCTCCGAGTCATCTACATACTTGAGTGTGTTAAAGATATTAATAGTCACACTCTGATCAGCCACTCGCATGGTGAACTCTCCCTTATCGTAATCAATAAGAATGCAATATGTGACTAGAAAGGGTCACCCAAAATGATGGGTGCATTATCGTCGGCCTCGTTGTCAAGGATAAGAAAATATAATGGAAATATAAAGTTTTCCACTTTATTATGACACATTCAATTCTTCCCTCGGAACGGACATGAGATCGGTCAGTTAGTTGTAGGATCACGATGATCGGTTGTGCACTACCCATTCCAATCTTCAAGAACATTGACTTGGGCATCAAATTTACACTTGACTCAAGATCGTATAGGGCTCTCCCCGCATAGTTATCAACGATAGAACATGGAATAACAAAGCTGACAAGATCTTTTTGCTTTGGCAGTAGTTTGCTCAACGTAGAATTGTATTCTTTCACTGTGGCAACTGCTTCAAACCTTTCCACCTTTCACTTCTTTGTGACAGTTTCTTTTCAAAACTTGGCATAAGTAGGCATCTAATCAATGGCCACCAAGAGTAGAACATTGATATATAGCTGGTCGAGGATGTCAACAAACTTTTTAAACTGGATATCATCATTATGCTTCTCCAGTCTTTGGGGGAAGGCTGGTGGGGGTATGACTTTTTCCACTGCATATGGGGGAACAACTTTTGCTATGACATTTGTTTGACCTCCATCAATAGGTTTACTTGTGCATCCCTCATCTTTTTGCTTCTCTATAGGTAATTCTTCTTGTTCTTCAGGTTTTTGTTGCACAATGCTAGGCCCGGGATCATCTAACTTCTTCCCCCAATCTTATCTTCTAAGTTAAGTTAGGTACAACTCCTCAGTGTGAGCGCACTACATTGCTTCTTTCCATGAGATTTAGTGACTTCAGCATCACTAGGGAGATTGCCTTGTGGGTGAGCATGTAATGCTGTAGCAATTTGGCCCACTTGGTTCTCCAATGCTCTCAAATACGAGTTATGGCTTTGCAACAAGGGTGCTTGGTTTTGCAAAAAATGGGCCTTGGATTTTATTAGTTAACGAGTTTTCATGCATTAAAGCCTTCATAAAAGCCATAAAATCATAAAGAGTGGCTTCAAGTGAATTAGAACTTGATGAAGATGTTGAACCTTTGTTGGCATTTTACGATGGCATATGTTGTTGCTGAAATCCTGAAGGTTCAATAATATTTTACTGTGGCCTATTTGAGCTGCCTGTAGTGTTATTGTTTGACCCTTGATTTCCCTATGAAAAATTAGGATGTTGACACCATCTTAGGTTGTAGGCATTAGAGTAGAGGTTGTTGTTGCCTCGATTGAAATTTCCCACATAATTGATATATTCTTGATTGTTAGGGCATTCACTCTCATGGTGATCACCATGACATAAGAAACATGTTGAGCTAGCCATGTTTACTTCTTTCCCCTTGTTGGAATGTTACAAATTCTTCAACATATTTGTTATAACAGAAATTTGGGCGGACACTGAATCTTTAGCATCTAACTCAAATGTACCAGTTGCTTTCCTTCCAGTTTCAAGACTTGAAGAAGGAATTGATAATCGTTGTTGGTTATCATGTCAAGAATGTCAAAGGCCTCTTCGGGTGGCTTTTTTTTGTAAATTACCATTTTCTGAAGCATCTAACATCATGTGTGTGGGTGCATTTACTCTATTTTAGAACATCACGACTTGAATCCAGTCGTGGAATCTGTGGTTGGTGTGCTTGCGAAGCAATCCTTTATATTGGTCCCAACACTCATAGATCGACTAATCATCAGCTTGATGAATACTTGCTACGTCATTTCTTAATTAAGTGTTTATGCTGGGCGGATTATACTACAACAAAAAGCGTTTACACATATAAGGCCAAGTCTTCATCGAACCGAATAAAACTCCGCTAAGCCAAGCTCTTGCTCGGTCATAAAATAAATAGGGGAAAAAATTTAACTTTAGCACATCCTCATGCACTCCTTGCTGCCTGAATGAGTCGCAAACCTCCAAGAAAGCACAAATGTGTTACCTTGCATATTCATTAGGCATGCCATCATATTGTCCGGTCGAGTTCAACATGTTGAACATGATTGGTTTAAGCTCGAAGTGGGCTACCTGGATCTTGGGATCTATAATCCCCAGGGTTGAGATAATCCAAAATAGGAGCCAAATTATCTATAATAGCTCTCGATCAAGGAACAAGTCTATCATTTTGATTTTCTACAACATTTGGATCTGTAGGATCTTGAACTTGTTGAACGTCTTGGTTTTGAACATCGTACATGGATCTATAACATGTTGAGCATGTTGTCTCTGACGGAATAAATATTTGATCTCCAGAACTAGAGAATAAAGTGCTTCATTGACATTCATTCCGGTCATGTAACAGAAAAAACCTAAAAAAAAGAAATAAACGAAAATAACAAGTAATATTGAAAAACTAACTAACAAAAACTCTTGCTATAGCTAACTTAAAACAACCAGTTGCCAATCCCCAGAAACAACACCAAAAACTTGATCACGTGTAAATATACTATGCTATGGCAGGTAATTCTGTACAAGTATAAACAATCAATATAAGTAATACAGTAGTGAGTGAGTATCATTTCTATAAGGATCAGAGGTATTTTAAAAGCAAGCTGTAGCAAAAAGGTGTCACGAACTAAAACTAAGTATATATGTATAATGGTATAAACAAGTGAAAGTAATACTATGGCAGATGTATGTATAAGGTATAAGGTATGTGGAAATGCAGTAGCAAGTTTGATGTGGTGAAATTTTAATGGAACTGAAACAGTATGTTGAGGTAAAAGTTTAACAAAATTATAAAAGTATGCTAGAGTGATAAAATAAAGTGAACTTTGGAGAATAAGATAAGACTGAAAACCTCACATAATCAAGCTTCTCTAGAGGTAATTGTCATGGATTTTCAATAGTAATAATATTATGTGCTAAGAATGGTCTTTGCTCCTATGAGTATGTTGCCCAACAGTATTTGATGAAAATGTTCCTAAACTATGCCTAGCATGGCCAGGAACATGATAAAACTAATGCTACAACAATACCTCTCAGCGTGAACTACAATACTAGCCTATCGACCAAGTATTACCCCTTTTAGTTGCATGAAACCCTCTCCTTATCTCTAAGATAGGTTAGAACCTTACCATCCCGGTTTAGTTCCCTTTCTCATATAGATATAACCTTGCTCTCTCGATACTAGGTATCTATGCTTATACAATGGAAATCTTTCAAAAGCTCTAACAAGACTAAGTATCTATACTATAGAAAATGAAAATCTCTCAAAAACTCGTACAATGATACGACGTATACGATAAAAACAATGAGCAAAAAAACATTTAAACAAAAAACATCAAACCATGCATTAACACAAAATAAAATAATCCAACATAAATCCAACGCAAAATATGTTAGTTCATGGAATGGATAAGTTCATCAAAGATCATTCGAGTTAAGAACAAGCTCAAAATAAGATAGAAAAGAAAAGCATAAGGAGAAAAATACTCCCAATAAGTTGTTGTCGTGATACTTAGCTCCACCATCATGGACAACCTTAGCAAACTAGTCTCTCTCAAGGTCCTAGCTGCTACCTCTTTGAAGCTTGGCTATGGAGGACACAACAAAAAAGGGATGAAAAGGAAAGAAAATGGAGGAATGTACAACCGCCTTTCTTTCTTAGGTCACTTCCCAAAAGTTCATCCAAAATGTGGGGTACCTTTGGTATTTATAGAGGGGAATTCCTTTAGTATTTTGGGCCCTAAATTCCCTTTTTACCATATATGTCATCAACCTCATGTGAATGGGCGGTTAAAGTGACAAGTGGTCACAAAAATTACAACAAGGGCAGTGAGTCACGTGTGGCTGAACAACTTGGCAAATATATTTTTTCTATTTTCTTTTCTGCTCTATATTCTGTTGTGCATCTTTCGCTGTGAAAAGTTTTTCTCCAGCATGTTACAATAACCATGTCTTCTCCTTAAGTTTTCCTCACCTGCACAATACCAAAAGAGAAAGACCTTTCCCTCAACGGCATCAGTTTCAACAAATAATTGATAGAACAAGACTTTATCACCAAGTGCAACTACATGACCTAAATGCAACCTAAATGCTATGACATGATCTTTAAAGCAAACAATAACACAAGTAAAATGGCAAAAACTATAACCTTTTTACAGGATTATAATTCATGAAGCATTAACATCTTACTTGGTTAGTCTATTCCTCTCATGTACTAGGGACGTGTTTGGCTCACGAAGTATGAAAATGACATCCGACTATCTTTTAAAGTGCTCTTATAATGAATTGGATGTATGCAGATATATCCCATACAAATCAAACGACTGTCATACATACAAGTAACTCAAGTTTCCTCATCATTTCCCAAG